TTTAAATATCACACTAAATGGTCAAATAAAATATAAATTTTAGTTTAACTTAAACAACACAAAGAATATTTTGTAAATAGTTAAAAGTGATAAATTGCAGTGTCTTTCTAATAATTATTATAAGTTGGTTAATAACGTTAAATAAATATCAAACCTAAAGTGTAACTAAAAATAAACTAAATTTGAATGTTAAAATATTATCTTTTACTTCTACTTATAAGTTATGTCTTTAACTTTTAATATATTATACTTAATTTATTAGATTTAATATGTTGTTGTATGTAAATCATTATCAGTTTAAAACTACAACTTCTGAAAACTTTGGACAAAAGACTATTGTTAATTTAAATATAATATTACAATGTCAACTTAAACACCAATTTCAATTCCACTTAAAAAAAACCAAAGAATATTTTGTTTATAGTTAAAAGTGATAGATTGTAATGTTAAATGCAAAAACTAAAATGCAATCTCAATTTAACTCAAATATTTCATGAATATATTTTTATAATCATTAAAAGTTTTCAAATAAATAGTTTAAAATAACTTACAATAAAAATAGTTAAAAATAACTCTATATAAATTATTATATTGTTACCTTTAAAATAAAAAAATATATATATTTGATGTTTTAAATATTATAATGATAGAAATTAAAACATTAAGCAAATAAATTTTAAAAAAATAATTAATAATAACAACAACTATAAATAACATTAAACCTTATATTATATTTAATATTATTCATATGTAAACCGCGGGTAGAAATCATTCAAACGATTGAGATTATGTAGTTATAATAGATGCATATATTATCATATAATTCAGAATATACAATATATTATATTAATTTAGTATACGAATTATTATATCAAAATTTAACAACAACGTTATTGTTAATTCATGAGTAACTCGTGGATAGAAGTCATTCAAACGATTGATATTATTATAATAGATATATATATATTATCATATAATTCAGAATAATCAATATATTATATTAATTTAGTATACGAATTATTATATCAAATTTAACAACGACATTATTGTTATATTAAAAAAAACATATATTTATAAAGATTTCAACTATAAAGGTTTTTCTGCACAACATGCGGACATTCACCTAATATACTTATAAATGAGACATTTTTACTTACACCACATGCATTTGAAACATCCATAACTTTTGAGTTTCTTTCTAATATTTATTATAAATTGGTTGATAATGTTAAATTAATGCAAAAACTAAATTATGATAATAAATTAACTAAACTACAATACTAAAATATCATATTTTACTTATATTTATAAAATTATGACTTTAACATTTTAAAATATTATAGTTAACTTATTAGTTTAAATATGTTGTTGTAAGTAAGCAATTGTGATTTCAAAGTCACAACTTTTGTATAGTTTATAATTTTGTTCAAAATGGTTAAATTATTAATTTCAATATAATGTTAAACGGTTAACTTAAATCCGAATTTTAGTTAAACTTAAAAAAATCGAGAGATTATTCTATAAATGGTTATAAGTTATATAGTATGGTGTTAAACCTAAATTGCGATCCTAAATTAACAGAAAAACCATGAAACTATTTTTTATAGTTATTAAGAATTTTTAAATAAGTAACTTAAATATAACTTACAATAAGAATAGTTAAAAGTAATATTATACAAAAAATTATAATGTTATGTTTAAAAACAAAAACAATGTTTGTTATTTTAAATAATTACAATCAAAGAAACTAACACTATTCATCAAATAAATTTTAAAAAAACTAAATTTTTTAAACCAAATTAAAATAATTAAGACTTCCCAAATATGTTATTTAAAATAAATTACAACAATAATAATTAAAAGTAACATTATATATAAAAATTATATTGTTACATTTAAAAATAAAAACAATTTTGATGTTTTAAATAATTATACTGATAGAAATTAAAATAACAAACATATAAACTTTTTAAAATTAATTAATCATAACAACAACTATAAATATCATTAAACCATATATTATATTTAATTTTGTTCATGAGTAACCCATATATAGAAGCTATTGAGACAATTGATATTATATGATTTTAAAAGATGTCTATATTATAATATAATTCAAAACAAACAATATTTATACCAACTTATTATAAAATTTATTATATAAAAACAAACAACAACAACGTTATTAATATATTTTAAAAAACATAGACTTAAAAATACTTCATATATATTCAAATATATTGTTGTATTTTACACAACACGCAAATATTCGTCTAGTTTAATTATGAAACAAAACAGTCTCCGAGTGTATCCGGATTCCAACATTCGTGAAGAAGTGGAAAAGCGAAAAGGTGAGTAGCATCCAACACATTGTTACAACAAAAAGAGTTTCCAGTTGCACCATATATGTGCTCTTATTACAACACATTATTATTTAAATGAGACGGATAGAAGCTGTCTATTTTCCCTTTAGATACAATATATACATAGCATAGCCTGAGCATTGAAAAGAAAAATGAAATCAGAATTTACTAAGAAACTCAATTATTTGCTTGCTGATCTCATCCGGTGTCTCTTGGTTGATAAAGTGGGCCACACCTTTCATTATAACAATTTCTTCCAAAAGTGGAACATCTCTTTTAAACCCATCACCATGTATGTAGTCCTTGGCAAACATTTTATACATCAAGTCTAGGTCCCCAACGATGTATTTTGATGGCACATTCACTTTAGCACCATGCCATGCCGCCGTGAGTTCCCAATTCCTACAATGATATATATATATATATATATATATATATATATATATATATATATATATATATATATATATATATATATATATCAAACTCAAAAATGAAGCTAAAGAATCATATATATAAAATCAACTAGACTTCATATATGTATTGGTTTCTCTATGTAGATTGCAGCGGTATTTGAGAGTTATATTGGGAGTAAATGGGACTTACAAATGAAGAGCTCGATAATAGTTAACAGGACCAGTGATGCCAGTATTTACTAGATGTCTAGCAAAGTATTCAATATCTTCCTCTGACAACCAATGCGGCAAGGTGACCGGGGTATCACCAGGTGAATGTCGAAATCCGTTGCCTTTGGATATGTAATATGGTTCAGCGTCTCGATGTGTAAAAAACTTTTTCAGAAAAACTGGAATACCCATTTTAGCCACCTCAGCTTCAATTTCTCCTGGTTCCTATTGCAAAAAAAGCAAAAAAAATAAAGCCGAACACAATCAAAGACTTCTTTTTTGCCACTTTTCTATATATTTGTAATAATAGTAACTGTCGAAAAAAAAGATATCTACCTGAAATCTGACCATGTAATGCTCCTCTCCGTATACATGTCTTGAGAGCTGGACGAGGTCTCCGTTTGGGTTCCATGGAACAAATGGCACGCTGAGGGTGACCAGAGCTTTAACTCTATCAGGCCTAAACATGCACAAGTACCACGCAATGATCGCTCCCCAGTCATGACCCACAACAAAAACCTTCTCACCTTCACTTGTTATTGCGGCAAGAAGACCAATCATATCCCCCGCGAGATGGTGCAAGGTGAATTTGGTGTGGTCATTGACCGGTGCACCTGTTGTGCCACCATACCCACGCAGGTCTGGTGCCACGGCTCGGTAACCATGATCAGCCAAATACACAATCTGGTGGCGCCAGGAATACCAGAGCTCAGGGAAGCCGTGGAGGAACAACACCAATGGACCTTGACCCTTTTCAGCTATATGAATGTTGAGTCCATTAGCACTAACAGTCTTGTGCTGGATCCCCTCCATCTCTTTCAACAAAAGTTTTAAAGTATGAGTAGTCGTGGATCAGTTGGTATGTGGATGTATCAGATATCAATACTTATAAGACTAAATGGTATTTGGTAGTATGTACACTGTGTAACCCCGCCATTTCTAGAAGACATTTGACTCCAAGAACGCCCCCCACCGCTATCTCTTATTAACATTTACCAAAATAATATATATATATATATAGGATATAGATCCGGTAAGAAATTTTTTTTGGTAGGAAGGTAAGAAGTTTTTTTTCTACATATTTTTTTGACGAACAAAAAAAATGAATCACTAGTTGATTCATTTGTAAGATGATTCACAAGAAAAAATTCTCAAAAAAATATCTTTATGATTCATTTTTAAGTAAATTAAGAAAAAATTTACTTTTATGACAATTTTAGTGAATAACAACAAAATCATTATATAAATGAATCATCGAGATGTTTTTTTGAGAATTTTTTCTTGTGAATCATCTTACAAATGAATCATCTAATGATTCATTTTGTTTGTTCGCGAAAAAAATATGTAGAAAAAAAACTTCTTACCTTCCTACCAAAAATTTCCTTCTTACTTGATCTTGACTCATATATATATATATATATATATATATATATATATATATATATATATATATATATATATATATATATATATAAAGGTAACTTCAATTGAGAATTTACAAAAGGTGAAAAATATAGGAATCATTCTCAATCAATCATTTATTTCTACCGCAAAAGCCTCCAATGTATGGACGAAAATGTGAAAGGAATACGCGTGTTTTCCAACAAAACAAGTTTCCTTGAACTATATTAATTATTAATATACAAAAACATAGTTTTTTTTTTCATTTTTTTAATTCTTAAGATGATATTTTTATCGAAAAAAGATTTTAAATATATCAAAATTCATAATTTTTTATTTTCTATAAATAGACATCAATATTGATATAGTTTTAAGATAATTTTTATTTTTTTATTTTTATAGTTTCAGCTCTTGTTATTCATAAATGAATAAAAATACATAAGATTTTTAGTACAGCATATTTGTTATTCACTTATGAATAAAAAGTATGATTAATTTTTTTATAGTATAAATATCATTAATATATGAGTATAACATATATATAAACTCTTTACAATTTACATCAGCTCTGGTTACATATTATATTTACATATAAATAAAACATGTATTAGTCTTCCTCACAATTTATATTAATATATGAAAAACGCATTTATCATAATGTTGTTACACTTTGTTTGTTTTTCATATATTAATAAGTAGTTCAAAATTTTTAAACACGTCGACTTTTATTAATATACTACTTATTCATATTCGAATAAAAAATGAACTGTAACTAAAATCTAATAAATTTTTTATTTATATATGAATATAAAATATGACGACCACTAATACACATTTTAATCATATATAAATATAACATGCGACGAAAGATGATATAAAAAACATATTTTAGGTAAAAAAAAAAAAAAGTTTTATTACGTGTTATATTTATATATAAATGATAGTTAAACTGTAAAAAACTTAAGCATACATTTTATTCATAAATGAGTAACGAATGTACTATAATAAAAATCTGATCGATTGTTTTTGTGTACATTGTTTTTTGTGACAACCTGAAATTTTTATTTGTATAAATTCCGCATTTAAGCACTTCAAAAATTAGCGAAATTCATCTCAGAACATTTTTGGCCGGATTTAATCCCGTTGAAATATTTTAAATAATATTCGTCAAGCGAACCAAAAATAAGGAAGTATAAATTTAGAGTTGTCGTGTTTAACGTAAGTTGCGAAACTCCAAAAATTTGGAGTTTACGAACGTAAACTCGGAGTTTACGACCGCAAACCACCGAGAGTATAAATATGACACTTAGTCATTTTCTCTCATTTTTCCAACTTCCACCTCAAGAACACTCAAGAAATCCTCTCAAGTATCATATTTCTTTTCCGTCAAATCCGCTCAAACGTAAGTGTTTCTTGCCTAGATTTGTTCATATAACACTTAATATTGTGTTTTACAACACTTCATCCATGGATTTTCGATTTTGCTTAGATCATCAAGTGTTCATCAAGAACACCAAGAACACACTAGTGTTTTTGGGTCCTAAAACACCCTTGCAAGGTTCCTCTAAGTAAGTATACCATTCCTAGCTAGTTATTTTCTTATTGTGCTTACAAATCCATAAAATAAACCCAAGAACATGTGTTTACGGTTTGGGAATATCCCAAAACCGTAAACACCCCAAAAAGGGATTTTGATCCCCCAAACTCCTTCCAATGATTGCTTAATGAACTAGGGACTTGTATGAATGATCTAAGGACCCTGAAACACAAAATGGATGGGGTAACCATGAGTTTACTGCTGTAAACTCATGGGTTTACGGTAGTAAACTCCCAATGAATATTCAATAACTGTAAACACCCTCCAAAGGGTGTTTAAGTGCCCTTAACACCTTCCTATGCTCGTATAAGTGACTAGAACCTTGCATGCATGAGTTAGAACCACCAAAACACAAGAGAAATGGACAAACATGAGTTTACTGCCATAAACCCATGTGTTTACGACCGTAAACTCCCAAGAGAGTGGTCCAAAGACCGTAAACTTCACAAAAAGTGTCCGTTTTGAGCCCTAGTCACTTCCTTAGCCCAAAACCTTCAATAGATGACGCTCAACCTGAGAATTCCCAATTTTGCCCCACTTAGAACACTAACCACCACCCACTGGTGTGAACCCCAACATAATTTAGCCGACAGTTTCTAATGCTTAAATGAGCCCACACTCAAATCTTCAAGACCCAAAGATAGGCTCTCCAACTAGTATCTCAGTAACGAGCTACTTCCCTTGGCGCTCTCATCCACCAATAAATAACGGTTTACTAAAACCACAGAATCCTAACAATGTTGAATAACCATCTTGTGGGACCCTGCTCGTAGACCTCCCACATGATACCATTCTTCCCAAAGTGATCCAACAATTCTACCACTCTCAGCTCTAGAAATCATATCATTTAGGGCCTCGCACCCTCACTCACTCACCATCTCAATCATCCACAGCTGAACTGTAGTAGCTGAAACAACCTTTCCCCTAAACTGTGCTACCACTACTCCCATGACATAGTCTCCAATCCCAAAAGTGCAATAAATCGCATAATCAATCCTTACCGCCCGATACAAGAGATCCAAAGAGAAAAGGATCTTAGATCCTATGAGTTAGGACGGTAATCGTGTGTACCTCACAAGATAATCATGCCACATCAACTCATGCGTGCTGACCAGCTTTTAAATACTATCGCCAACCCCTGCAACTAGCTGACCCTGAGTTGGAATACAACCGAAATCATGAGTTCACAAGCCTGCTCGTTCCTTCGAGCTCGAAAACTGAAATGGTATAATCCTTGCCCTAGAAAATGACATTCCAATCCTTCAGTTAACCATTCTACTTCCATCTGCAAAACTCCAGTTGAGCATAATCATCACTCCCTTTCGGAATCCCTACGACTTGCATTTCGGCCTCGAGCAAAACGCCCTAAGTCTTAATTCCAGAAAATCATGCGATATCTACTCCCTCTCAGCCTGTGGAATGTAATGAGTACAAAATATCTCCCTGGTCCCAAGTAACTGCAACCCTCTGCTCATCAGAATATGTCCTATTAACAAGTCTCAGTACTGGAAAGCTTGATCAACTCCTCCACCTTGCCGCCGTTACAGTTGTTGTAGCTGATGCGTCAACCGTTTCAATAATGGTTGCATAGCACTCGTCAAAATACTCAACCATGGCGGTCTTAATAGACCCAAACATATTCGGAAACTATCCCCGTACAATCTCGATCACCACCTCCCAGATGATCACACTGACACGATTCTCTAACATTAGTGACCTATCTTGGCTGCTAGCTCCTGGTCTTGATTCGGATCCGATCTCAAGATATCTTGTAACCACCATTATGATAATACACCAAAAAGATCTCTTATAAGCCATATGACGGCAGGGAACCAACTCTCAACTAAACCCCAACGGTTGTGACTTCCTTGATACGCGTATGGATCATGTGCTTTCAGTAGTATGGGCCCATACTACCTTTCACACCTATCCATATTTGTCTCAATTATCACCACAATGGCCAAACTCTATACATAACATGGCGAGCGCTCAATCCTCACTCCTAGAGAAATGCTAAACTATCTCATAATTGGCCTCTCGGCCTCTCACGACCCACCCATCGATGAAACTTCCACTAACCCTATAGCACTAGTGTATGCTATCCATACATAACATTGGACCCTATAGACATTCGAATACTCGGTCCTACTTTAAGCCCGCAACTAATCTAGGAACATGAAATAAAGCTAAACCAAATATTCTTAGGCTATAAGATCTTAATTATGTATAAGTTATGATGCATTCACTGAGCAACTACAGTAATGATTTCAATTTCATATAAGGAAAACTCTAGGCTATTAGGTATCATACAATTAGGTAATTCCAGAAGACCCCTAGCCTAGTACTAGTATGTTGTTCTAACATATCACAATATCAAATAACCGTATGGTATTTTGTGGTCTACTTACTGACTCCGTCTGATCATACACTTGCATCCTCCATTATTATTTTGAAAACCACATGAAAATCATTTTGAAAATATTTTCCTTGATTTGAGATTGGATTCACACAAGTGTTCCTCCAATTCACTCAACCCAAGGCTCTAATACCAACTTGTAATACCCATAAAAATCAAGCCAATTTGAAACTTTTTCGATCATCTAAAAACCATTAGTTATTACAAAATGTTTTCAAAATAGTTTAATGTCAGAGTATCCCAGAAACCATAAGTCCAAAACACGAGGATGTAATGGTCACGCCTTTGCCTTGCCGAGATATCTGAAGCATCTGAAACAATAAACTGAAACTATAAGCACAAAGCTTAGTGAGTTCCCCAAAACTACTGATACACTGCACATAACACATTTACAAATAATAGCATGTACTGGGTCTACAACTTTACATACTGGATTACCCCTTGGCCCATAGTATAAGTCTGGATTGCCTCCCGGGCCAATAGATCACATATGGATTGTCATCGAGCCCACAATACGAGTCTCCCTCATCTCGTATTTGGAATGCTCTCGGGTTGTTGGT